TATTTGTAAATTTATGTAGATTTGTTTTGTGGCCTAAAACATGGTCTATTCTGGAGACTGTTCCATGTGCACTTGAGAAGAATGTGTATTGTGCAGTTGTTGGGTTGAATGATCTGTACACATCTATGAGGTCCAGTTGGCTGAGTGTGTTGTTTAGTTCTTCTGTGTCTTTGTCTGACAATTCTTGAAACTGTGTTTTTCATTAATGTGTGTGGTTGGTGAGTGTCCTGTAAATGGAAGCTTCTGGCTGCTATTATCAGATTTTCTCAAACCAACCTAGCATCCCTTTTGGCTCACCCAGCGTCGCCTGGCCACTCTGGACACCCCCAATTGCACTACTGTCTCCTACCTGACAATGGACACGTATTTTCTCCCAGAGCAAGTTGGAGGTGGTTAGTCAAATCTCCTCAAACCAGCCCCGCCCAGGCTCCAACCCCTCCTCCTAGAGGGTCACGGCTTTGTTTTCTTCTAAAGATCTAAGATTTCCAAACACTGTGGTTGTCTTGCCCAGCAAAGAAAAAAAAAAGGGGAAGCAGGAGATCACTAAGGAGGAGGAAGAAGACGAGGAAGACAACAGCCAGTGCAGCAAAGAGGAACGTGTGTCCAGTGGTCCTGATCCCCACGGAGCCAGTAGCTGGGAACCTAGAGCCCCGCTCATCTTCCAGTCTTGCATCAGCCTGGCTTCTTCTCCACTGTAGCCATGGGCCCATGGGCTCAGCTGGTCCTGCTTGTGGCCACAGCTTGGCATGGTAAGAACTGAAGGGTGTGAGGAAGGGAGGACGGGAATGTGATAGCAAAAGTCCTCAAGGGAGGATTCTGTGAGCCCCTTACTGGTTGTCTGCACTGTGTTTTCACCTCCTCAGCATTAGACTGCAGGTGTGTGGTTGTCTGCTTTGGAGAAGAGGTAGAAGGAAAAGAGAGTGTGGCTGGGATGCAATTAGCTTGTTCCAGGGTGGTGTATCCGTTCCAGCTTAGACATGGGCTCACCAAGTGCCCTGAACAAGTCCCTGGTATTGTCAGACAGAGGGGCAGTGATATTGTCAAACGTAGGAGCAATGCTTCCCAAAAGTTATTGGGAAAGATCTGCCCATGTAGATTCCAACTCTACATCTCAGGTGGAATCTGAGATTCTGCCTTCCCAACAAGTTCCCAGGTGCTGGTCCAGACCAACACTAAGTAGTAATAACCTGATGGTGGTGGTGCTTATTGTGTGTCATGGCGTTGGTTCTGATTCATAGCCAGTCTGTATAGGGTTTCCTAAGCTACAAATCTTTACAGGAGCAGAAAGTTTCATCTTGGTCCCTCGGAGCACCTGGTGTACTTGAATTGTTGATGTTGCAGTTAGCAGCTCAGTAACATAGTGTTTACGAATCGGGCTGCTAACCTCAAGGTCAGCAGTTCGAAACTACCAGCTGTTCTGCGGGAGAGAGATGAGGCTTTCTGCACCCGTAAAGATTTGCATCCTCGGAAACCCTGTGCAGGGTCACTATGAGTGGGAACCGACTCCACAGTACTTAACAACAACAACAATGGACTCCTAGGATTACCCTAGAGGGCCCCTCAGGGCTGTTTCAGCTCTGACAGCCGATGGTTCCCTGATTCTAAGCAGAACTTGACATGGAAAGAGTAAAGGGCTTGGCTGCTAACCTAAAGGTCAGTGGTTTGAACTTAGCCATGGTCCTTGGTTGGAAACCTTGGGTAAGAGGTTGGATAGAAGAAACAAGGGTTTGGCCTCTGGCAGGGGCTCAGGAGAGAGAACTTTGAGGATAGAGAAATTTAGGGCTACAGAAAGGCCTAGGAGACAGACCAGTAGGGTCTCCACAGTTAGAAACCTCCAAACATAGGCTGTGGGGACCCCCCGGACAGGGAGCTGTGTGAGAGTCCTCATCCCCATCTATCTAAAAGAGGCTCCAATTGGAGGTGAGGGGCTAGTGTGCTTGGCTTGTAGATATAATTGACTCAATAAACATGTTTCATATTTGTTGTTGTTAAATGTCATCGAGCCAGTTCCAACTCATAGTGACCCTATATAGGGTTTTTGGTCTTGTGGCTCAAACTGACCTTGTGGTCCGCCGCATTATCCTACAGCACCACACTTTGTTGTTGTTGTTGTTGTTAGGTGCCATTGAGTTGATACCAAGTCATAGCGACCCTACGCACAACAGAACAAAACACTTCCCAATCCTGTGCCAACCTCACAATTGTTGCCATGCTTGAGCCTTGTCCCTAACGAGGAGATGACTCGTGAAAAGTCTTTTTCTGGCCCAGTTGGTCCCATTGGACTGTGGTGTTTTACTCTTTTTTTATTGAGGCATGATTTACACAAGACAAGGTATAGATTCTTGATGGATTTTAACAAATGTATATACTTGTGTTGTCTAGCCAGCATCCCAGTCAAGTGGGAGTGCATTCCCATCCTCTAGATGGGAGTTCTTGGGCTTGATTTTGCTGCCTTGTCCTGTCCTTACCCCTGGAACCTGCCTACAAGGGTTGTGGTGGCTGATCTAGCACCTAGCCTCAGGAGTGACAAGAGATGGGGGCAGGGGCTGAAAACCTAGGCTTTCTGTTCTGTAGACTAGTAATGAGTGAGTAGGTGCAGCTGGTGCCCCGAAGGAGTCCAGTAATGGTGTTTTTTGTTGTTGTTAGGTGCCATTGAGTCGGTATCGACTCATAGAGACCCTATGAACAATAGAACGAAACACTGCCCAGTCCTGGGCCAATCTCACAATTGTTGCCACGCTTGAGCCCATTGACGCTGCCACCTTGCCAATCCATCTCGCTGGGCGTCTTCCTTTTTTCCTCTGACCCTCCACCTTACCAAACATGATACCCTTCTCCAGCGACTGGTCCCTCCTGACAATATGCCTGAAGTATGAGAGACGAAGTATGGCCATCCTGGCCTCCAAGTAGCACTTTGGCTGCACTTCCTGCATCACAGATCTGTTGGTTCTTTTGGCAGCCCGTGGCACTTTCAATATTCTCCTCCAACACTATAACTCAAATGCATCAATTCTTCTACGGTAATGTATTGGAGCCTCCTAAAGATGGGACAGACTCGCTGCTCCTGGTCACTATGGCGAGATGCTAGAGCTGAGTCCAGGTCTTGATAGACTATGTGTGTTGGCATGAGTGGGGGCAGGGGCATCTCCTGGGACTGATGATGGAGGGGTCTGGTCAGGTCAGTGAGGGGGCTGAGGGAAGGACTTGGAAGCTAAGATGAGAGGTGAGGGCAGTATAGGCACAGGAGGGGGTCGTGGTTGGTGTTCATCAAGCCCTTACCCACACACACACTTCCCACTCCAAGGAGGAGAATTGCTGAACAAATTTTCCCTTCCCTCCAGTCCAGCAGTGGGGAAGTTGGAGATGGAAGTTGAGAATGTCAGCCTGTCTTGCGTGAATATCTGGGGCAACAGGATAGGACCACAATAAGACAGACATCTCTCTCTGACCACATTTCCAGGAGGCCATGGGGGAGGGGAAGCAGCCTGTGTGGTCAGCAGTGCAGAAACAAACACAGCAGGGCCCCAGAATCCCAGGGCATGGCTGTTACAATAATAGACTTTAAATGGCAACTTTAAAGGATGAAGTCTTTAAGGATCACAGTATCAGGACCAGAAAAGATGGTAGAAATGTAGCCATTGAAGCAGGAGCCAGTTGGCTCTGAACCAGGGACAGCACATTATCTTGTTGAATCCCTCCCCACATTGTATTTCTCAGAGGTGGGAAATCCTGCCTGGTGCAAACAGTTAACATGCTCAGCTGCTTAACAAAAGGTGGAGGTTCCCGCCTTCCAAGAGGCACCTTGGAAGAAAGACTTGGCTATCTATTTCTGAAAAATCAGCCACTAAAAACCCTATGGAGCACAGTTCTATTCTGACACACCGTGAGTCAGAGTTAATTCAATGGCAACTGATTCCAAACACAAGTTGGTGTAGCCCCACGGTGGAAGATCTTAACTGCAGTAAAATCCCATTTGGGGCTTGGATTGTCTTGGCAGTAGTGGGCGCCGGCAGCTCCATTCAGATGTGCAGAAAGCCTGCCAGAAAAGACACTCATCCTCTCCTCTGGTGGACGAACCTCACATGAAGGCTACCAACAGCCACCAGAGGTGGGCTTTAGTAATATCTGTGGGGCTCACTAGAACACTTGTGCTGATCAGAGAGAACTACATGTCTCTGATGGCTACAGAACCAAAACCTATATTAAACCATAGATGTATTTGACAGAAGTCTTTCTAAATCTGGGGTCTATGTCTGCAGAAGGAGCTCTAGGAGAGAACAGTGGAGAAGCCCTGACCACCCCTCCCCCCGGGGGCTCTGAGAGTCTGCAGGACAATGTTGTTACCAGGACTCCTACTGAAACAGAAGGGGCTACAGCAGGGGGAATTGGTCTTCCAGGGTCACCCCGTGGATCAGTGAGAGAGCCAGGTTTCGCAGCTCAGTCCCCCAGGATACTTGGATGTCCAGCAGGTGGCATCCTGTGTCTCCTGGGAAGGGGTGGGTCTCTCTCCTGGAGAGGTGCCGATACTGGGAAGCAGAAGTGAGACCATCCCTAGGAGAAGGGTTGTGGGCTGAGCGGAAGGTGGGGGCTGGGCCAGGGCTCCAGCAATGTGTTTCCTCCTGCTCAGGCCGAGGGTGCCTGGCAGCCCCTCCAAGGCCTTGAATCAGCTCTCACTTCCCTCCTTTGGTCCTATTTTAGGCCCTGGAAAAATGCTGACGCTGAAGAGGCAACGGGCCTTCTTCCCGGAGGGCCCGGTATAGGTTTCAAGTTCTCTTTTCTCCTTCAAGAAAATTTTCCTTAAAAGAGATTGGTTCTCCAGTAAACACGGCAGAGCTGGGGTGCACAATTGGGTTGCTGGGGGTAAACTAGACTGTAAACATGATGCTCAATTTGTGTTAAGTACTTACTTGGTGACAGATGATTGTACCCATTCAAAGAAGCTTAAATGCTTTCTATGCATTTAAGCTTTCTTGAATAGGTACAATTATAGTTCCCATTTTATAGATGTGAAAAATGAAGCATGGAGACATAGGTAACTTGTCCAGTGCTCACAGGTGTTAGTGGAGGTCTGGGATTGCAATCCAGGCAGCTTGACTGCAGAGTCTACGCTCTGAACCACTTCACTGTGCTATAGACCAGACACCCAAAGGTGGGAATAGGCAGAAAAAGCAGCTCTTCCTTTTCTCCATCTGAATGCAGCCAGTGGAGTTGACTACAGACACTCCATTCATTGCTTGTTAGAGCCTCTTGTTCTGAGTTGAGCACTGGGAATCCTGGAAGATCCACTTCTCCTGGAGAGAAGAATGATGCAGTCACAGTTGGGAAGGAGGCTTGGGGGAGCAACAGTGGGACAGTGGTATGGGTAGAGGGCTGAAAGAATTTCCAGTACCCCTTTCTCAGAAGTATGGACTGTTGGACATTGAAACATCAGCTCATACCCTGAACAGATTTGAGGTTGTGGTCTGAACAAATGACCAGAGAGCAGCAGGTTCAAGGTGATCCTGCAAGTTACAGCTGAGCAAAGGTTTGGCCCAAGCCAACCCACGATGGGTCTGCCAGGGCACCATCCTCTCAGAGGAAGGGGGTGTTCTGGAGGGCACTGAGGCCTCATTTTGTCTGTAATCCTGTCCTCCCATTAGGTCAGGGGATCCCGGTTATAGACCCCCTGGGTCCTGAGCTGGTTGTGGAGCCAGGCACAAAGGTAACCCTTCGATGTGTGGGCAACGGCAGTGTGGAGTGGGTCAAGCCCACCTCTCCCGGCTGGATCATGGACTCTGAGGCCTCCAGCAGCATTCTGACCATCATGAACGCCACCTTCCTAAACACCGAGACCTACCACTGCACTGAGCCTGGAAACCCCCTAGGGGGCAATGCCACCATTCACCTCTTTGTTAAAGGTGAGGACTCCACCCACCATCAGAGGCCATGACAGGATCAGAACCAGGCCAGCACTCTGCTTGTTGAGCATCTATCACTAACAAAGACCTGTGGCAGCACTTCTAATTGAACTCGGTCCTCACAATAACCCTGGGAGAGAGGTCCTAGGAGGATGTCCATTTTATAGCATCTCTGAGGGGTTGAGTCATTGGTCCAAAGTCACACAGCATCAAGTAGTGGGACTGGGACTGGGACTGGAATCCAGGCACACCTAACATCAGCACCCCTCTAAAGCATTGGCTGAAGTGTCCTGCTATTGTGTGACCCTGGACAAATGATGGTCCTCTTTCTGTGCCTCTCTTTCATCCCTTTGTGAGGAGATAGGGCAGTTATAATTCTGTACTCCCTCTACCTCAGACCCTTTGCGTCCCTGGAAAATCCTGGCAGAGGAGGTGACGGTGTTTGAGGGTCAAGATGCGCTGCTGCCCTGCCTGCTCACCAACCCAGCGCTGGAGGGTAATGTCTCGCTGGTGCGAAGCCGGAACCGGCCCATGTGGTCCAAGACCAAGTACTCCTTCTCAAGCTGGAGCGGCTTTACAATCCACAAGGTCAGGTACATTGAAAGCAGGACCTACCAGTGCAGGGCCCTGGTGGGCAACAGGATCCAGCAGTCCATTGGCATCCAGCTCACGGTGCAGAGAGGTATGTGGAGCAGAGCAGTACAGGTGAGGCACAGAGGGTGGGGCATAGAGCTGGCAATGCATGGGTGGTGATTGGGGGCCAGGTCTGATGGGAGATGTCATGAGGTGGCCTTCATCTTTCACTTCTTCCTTTCAATTGTTCTGTAAACATCTATGTGTGTCAGGGGTTGGGAGACTGACCACACAGAAGAAAATCACTCAATGGTCAACAGCATCTCAGATAATGAAGCGAAGAAGACAGAGAAATAGAATCGAGAGTGTAGGGGTGGGATCTCTGAGGAAGTGACACTTTATTTGAGCTGAGAAGTACATGATGGGAAAGAGACAAAGTGAGGGTGAGACCATGTTCCTGCAGAGGTGGCAAAAGGCTCAGAGAGTTCTAAGCACAAAGGGAGGCCTGGTTTCTTCCACAGCCTTAGGTGTGGATTTCTCCTGTGGTGCCAGCCAGGTGCTGGGCCCTGGGTACCAGAGACAGGTGTGGAGGTGGGCACACAGGACAGTTCCATATGGGTGGGAGGTAGGAGGAATCTTACTCACACAGGCTTGCCCTCACCCTCCCCTATCCCAGGATTTTGCTTTCTAGAAGGACTGATAAGAGTAAGCAGAGTTCCATGCTCAGAACTTGGAATGGGGATCAGGAGCCAGGGTCAGAGTGGAGCAACTAGGTAGAAAGTGGTTAACCAGCCTAGAAGTCAAAGGCCCCAGGTGCATGGGCACAGGAGGCCATGAGGGCCTTTTCCTGGTGTCTTCATCCTATAGAGCTTTAGGTTGGCTGCGAGCCAAGAGTCCTGGGCCCCAGTTCTGTTGTGACCACTTGGTGACCTTAGGTGAGCCCCTTGGTTTCTCTGAAGCTATAGCATCTTTTATCAACAGCAACCGTCACAAAGTTAATTTCATTCCTAATATGTATCCAGCATATAGAAGCGCTGGTGGCACTGTGGTTAGACATTGGACTGCTAGTCAAAAGTTCATTAGTTCAAACCCACCAGCCACTCTGAGGGAGAAAAATGAGGCTGTCTGATCCCATAAAGATGTACAGTGTTGGAAACCCCTTGTAGAGTTGCTATGAGTCAGAATCAACTTGAAGGTAGCTTTTAATTTTTTTTTTTTTTTTAAACATATCATGCAAGGAGCTCTGATAGTGCTATGGGTTAAGCATTGTGCTGCTAACCAAAAGACGGAAGGCCCCATGAAGAGTTATAGCCTCAGACACACTACAGAGCAGTCTTCTCTGTCCTGTTAGGTCACTGACACTCAGAATGGACTCAAAAGCAGTGAGTTTGTTTTGTTTTTTTGTTTTGCGTATCAGGCACATTGTTAGCTGCTAGGGATGCTGCTTTCACAGACCTGACATTCTCTTTGGGAAAACAGACTATAAAGGAAAGAAGTACAAATTATGATAAACAAGAAATCAAGCCAGAAAAAGTGGGGGACATGATTCAACTGAGTTGGCCATAGAAGGTTTCTCTGAAGAATTTCTAAGCTGAAAAAACTAAGAATGAAAGCAGCCACTCATTCAAGCAAGGGATGCATTCCAGGAAGGAATAGCAAGTGCAAAGGCCCTGTGGTGAGGCTGAAGGCCAGTGTGGCTGCTGTGCAGGGAACAAAAAGATGCTGTTGGTGGTGATCAGTAGTAGGGCCCGGGGCTGTGAAAGGACTTTGTATTTTCTTCTGAGAATGATGGGAAGTCACTGGCTGTTTAAACAGAAAGTGGCATGATCCCATTTTCATGTTTAAGAGATCACTTTGGCTGCTATGAGGAGTCTCCATCGTCAGGAGTGGAAGGGGAGGCAGGGAGGCCTGCATTGTGGCTGTTGTAGGAATGGCAAGTGGAGGATGGGGTGGAACCTGGGTGGGAGACGAAGATGATAGGGACCTTTCCTGATGGACACAGGACTTCCTGTCTGAGTGGCTGAAGGAGATATTGAGTGGCCAAGGCTGATTACAAGAATTTGGGGGTGGGAGAGTTGACTGACCCATGGCAGCAAGCAGATTGTTCATAAGTTCCTCCTCTGGCCTTAGCCTCGGAGCCCCCGGACTTGATGCTGGAGACTGCTGAGCTGGTGCACATTCGAGGGGAGGCTGCCAAGATCGTGTGCTCAGCCAGAAGTTTGGATCCTGCCTTTGAAGTCTTCCTCCAGCACAGAGACACTAAGGTTAGTCCCTAGGGAGACAGCTGGGTAAAATCTGCCTGTCCTCCTAGCATGCCAGATCCCGCAGCAGGGAGACCCAATTCCCATGCCAAACTGGCTCTCTGGCCCAGCTCAAGCCCAGAGAGGGGATCAGAGTTGACCAAGTTCCCACTGACAATCTATAGCGGATCCAGCACTAGGACTCATCAGGCCCAAAGCTCTGAGTCTTGTATGAGCTGGGGTGGGGTGCAGTACTCTAGTCCTTTACCCAGAACTTTTGTCCCTGATATAAACAAGGGGCCAGGTGTCAGCTCATTCAAGCTAGAATCAGAAGAGGATGTGAAGCAACGGATATGATGCTGACATCAGATGGATCTTGGCTGAAAACAGAGAAAGATACTTACTTGTGCTTTATTGACTATGTAAACGCTTCCAACTGTGAGGATCATAACAAACTATGGATAACACTGCAAAGAATGGGAATTCCAGAACACTTCATTGCACTCATGAGGAACTTGTACATAGACAAGAGGCAGTCATTTGAACAGGACAAGCAGACACTGAATGGTTTAAAATCAGAAAGCGTGTGGTTCAGGGTTGTATCCTTTCACAATACTTAACTCAATCTGTATGCTGAGCAAACAATCCAAGAAACTGGATTATATGAAGAAAAATGTGGCATCAGTATTGGATCAGTTGTGATATGCAGATGATACAACCTTGCCAGCTGGAAGTAAACAGGGCTTGAAGTGTTTACTATTGCACCTCAATGTTAAGGTAATAAAAATCCTCACAATTGGATCAATAAATACCATCTTGATAATTGGAGAAAAGATTGAAGTTGTCAAAGGTTTCGTTTTACTTTGATTCATAATCAATGCTCATGGAAGCAGCAGTTAAGCATTCAAAGGGTGTATTACATTAGGCAGATCTGCAGCAAAACACCTCTTTTAAGTGTTCAAAAGCAAAATTGTCACTTTGAGAACTAAGACGTGGCTGACACAATCCATAGTATTTCCAATCACCTTATAGGAATGCGAAAGCCGGGCAATGAATAAGGAAGACTAGAGAAGAATTGATACAATTGCATTATGGTGTCGACAAAGAATATTGAAAGTACCACAAACTATCAGAAGAATGAACAAATATGTTTTTTGTTTTTTTAAATGTTCTATTGTGAATTATGTGATAGTTTACATGGGAGAACATTAGTTTTACATTCATCCTATCATATACCATTTCATTGCCATGGTTACAATCCCTTCCATGCATCATCAACCAACCAAAGGGTATACTCTGCAAGCCTCCCCTGCAGGTCTAAAGTCCCCAGCTGCTCCATCTCTCCATGTCATCGTCTCTGCCTCCTCTGGCATCACTGCTCCTCTGGGTAGGGTCCAGTTCTCTGCTCTTCTCCCTTAATGGTTCCAGGGACCTCCGCTCCTAGACCTCCTCCCCTCCTTGCTACAAAACATCTACCTTTACATTTCCAACCCTCACAATCAGTCCTGATAATAATTATTCACTATTGTATCACAAAAGACCTATCCGCATTTCCTTTCATCAGCTCAGCCTAGACAGATTGGATACTCAGTGGTGATTCTACCTTCCTCCATGCTTTCTGGATCTAGGTTCCCTCTTGAAAGCTTGTAAGCCAGTCACTTCTTGCCTTTGTAGCCCTCCCACTTTGGGTAGCTAGTGTCAAAGTTGCCCATCCCTGTCTACTCTGTGTATGGAGGGGGTAGAAATGATACTTGCTGTAAAGATTTGTTCCCTCTTTTGAGCTACTGCATCCATAGGTATAGGTCAACTTCGTCAAATTGTATCCAATTACTCTTTTTTTCCTCTTCTTTCTTCTTCTAGTTGAGCTCTGAT